GGGGGATGGCATTAGCATACGAAAGGGGTTAAGATCACAATCACCTTTTTTCTAAGAATGGTCTGGGGTCCCAGGAAGAGGAAATTTCTTGCTAATTAAGTTTGGAAAAGTTCTTTGAAGAAACTCGCTGAAAGGTTTTAAGTAAGTTTCCTACTTTGAGGAAACTTGCTAAAAGGTTTTAAGTAAGTTTCCTTGAGGTCCAGACAGTAGAAAGTGTAATTTGCTCTAAATAGGAGACATGGGTGAATTTCCTTATCTAAAGACTAGGTAGTAGAATCCTGAAAGACTAGCCAGAAAGATTTTTGTGGATTGCTTTGAAGTGTAGCAGGTAGAAAACTTGACTAGCTCCAAAACAGGCAACCTGGATGAATTTCCATATCTAAAGCCAGACAGTAGGAAGTTTGAGTAATTCTGTAGAAGCTGAATAGGAGACTAGGTGAGATAGCAGAATAAGACTTGGGTTTTCCTCCGTCAGGCAGTGAGAGACTTTGCAGAAACAGCCCTTTTGCTTTTATTGATCAGCCAATTGTTAAGTCACTTTTGACTTCAGAGGAATTTCTCACCCTGGTGCAGTGCTTGCTTGTCAGGGCAGGCAGGCCTTATGCAGCTGAGGCAATCCAATTCTAGGCTGAAAGTTGCTCAGAATATTTTGATATTACGATTATACAAAAAAAGGGAGGTCATAACACAAGTTAGCATGGAAAGTCTGATCTTTCAGAGCTTTTCCCGAGCTACCCGGCATCTGTCTGACAATAGCCGTCACATAGCTTGTGTCAACTCTTTCTAAGGCCAGCCCAGTTGTAGCTACAGGCCTGGAAATGTGGATGACACTCTACTGGACTCATGGTTTCCAGTTATGCCATTGTCAGCATAATTGTTCATCAGTGTATTCAAAATATTCTAAACCACAGGGCAGGTGTGGATCCTCCCTATAGTCTGAGGAAAAAGAGAAACCAGTTCCTTATTTTTGTCCAAAACAATCCACATGGCATTAGATCTGACAGACTGAGTATCTGTATGGTGGTGGAAATGAGAGGAAAGGGTTTAACTAATTCCAAAGGAAAGAAGTACTCTTTTGTTTCTTTCATTAATACAGTTTTATTTTTTGAACAAAGAAATGAATACAAAACAGTAGAAACTCCAGTGTTTATATATAATGTTCACCATAAATTTATGTTCATACACACACACACCTTTATATTCATCAAAATGTCAAGGGGGTTGCAAATTTAGTAAGCACTTGGGTCATATGATGTTTAAGATTATTCTCAATTCGTGAGTGTTTTTTATCACTCACAATGTATATACTCATTTCATGAAAACTCACTATTTTATTAGATGTACTATTTTGTCTAAAAAAGTAGAGTTAGTGAACTTTGCCTCTGATATCAGACTTACGAGGAATGCATTTCCCCTCCTCATGCTTGCATAGAGGAAACTTACTCTAGCACGTTGAGAAAGAGAAGTGTGGGTGCAAGCTCTTTGAACTCTCATTCATTCCCTCTACATAAAAAAAAAAAAAAAAAGTCACCAAAAAAAGGATGATTAGAGAAGGAACTGAGCACGAGTGGCCCGTTCCAGCTGGGTTCTTTAACTTGGGAGTTAAGGGGTCTCAAAGCATAGATGCCCCGGCCAGGCAGAGTCAACAGCATTCTCCAGTCAGGAAAACTTATTAGGGCTCCTGATTCAGAACAAGTCATCCTTATTCTCTCTCTGACTCCCGTGTCTTACTCATCAGTTTGTTCCAAAATGAACAGGGGAGTGAGAGTTACCTGTTAGTGTCCTCAAACCCCACAACCTCACAATAGCGCCACAAATTGTACCTGCCCATGTCTGTGATACTTGTGTTCCCAAAGAGCCTCCCATTATTTTTCTGAAGTCACTGAACAATTATATTCTAAAGTACAAACAAAACCTCTTAGGTACAAAAAGAATGAGACATAAAGGCTCTTCTACACTGGCTCCAGAAATTGGGAATTTTAAATGTTCAAGGATTTTTAGGTGACAACATTTTTTTAAGTTTCAGCTTTATTGAGAATAATCTCAGTCATCGTGATCTGCAGAAGTGGGACCTGGGCAACTGGAAGCCAAGTCTTCTTTATCTGTAACATATATGGGGAAAGTAAAAGATTAATAAAACTATAGAAAACCTATAGTACACTAGAAAATTACTTCAATATGCATTTTTGATTTGTCATGTTGGGTACTTAATGTGCGAAACAAACCAGGAAAGATAAAAACAACAATAACTTCAAATTCTCTACTCTGAAGTACAAAGTCCTTAAATTCAACTAGCAAAGAGAAAAGCCAGCTTGGGCAAGTATGTTAGAAAGGAAAGAACTTGGCTCTGTAAGACATTTGGTAAATTGTGCGTCCCCTCCTGGGTCCATGTGGTGGCAAGTATCTATAGCTGAAGAAAGGTTCTTTAAAAATAAAGCCTGAAAATATTCAACATTCTCAAGTGATTAAAAATTCTTTCCTGTGGGCCCTCCCTGATGGTGCAATGGGTTAGGATGCAGCACTGCAAGCTAGCCACAGCCGCTTCAGGGCAAGTTCCATTCCTAGCCCCTGAGTGACCCACAGGGCACAACGGACCTCTCCTGACCTGCCCACTGCTCCCCTCAGCAGTGTACTTTATCAAATTGGCCTGTTCTGTTCCCCGATGTGACTCTGATGAACCCTCTCACCGCCCCTGCACCTCTGGCCTATATCCCAGTTCTGTATGTCTAAATAAATTAAATCATAAAAAAAATTCTCTCCTTTGAAATAAAATACTGGAAAAGTCCCAATTTTGAAAAATTAAAAGCAATGTTTAATAAGGCTTCAATTATTTCTCTAACCAATATTTCCTTAAGACATTAATCCCACATTGCCACTGGAAGAATAAGAAATTTCCATTGTCTGTGGGAAAGTCACTTTTACAAAAAAAAAAAAAAAGGAGAGTAAAAATAAAATAATATTTATATACAACTTTCAAAAAGGAGTATAAAGTATCTTCTTACCTTCATAGGCTGTCCCACACCAAATACAATACAAATGTTCTTCTCTTAAGTAAGTAGTCAATATTTGCAGTTTTTCCAGTACCTAGATAAAGGACACAATCACATTAATGGTTCACGTGGGAGAGAATCTTGGTTTTCTGGTCTCTTAGATCATGCTGAATTAGCCAAAAATATTCCATTATAACTCAAATCACTTAGGAGAGGGATCACTGGCACAATAACTTAGAACATGTCCCAGTGTACCAGCTACCTGACACTTTCACATACCCCTTGTTCATGTTTGGCCCTATTATATAATCAGCATCCTTTAAAGATGCCTTCTACTTTCAAGGAATCTACCTCCTCAGAGGATGGGTACTGTCTCCCTTTGCCATTAGGATGCTCACAATGAATGGCCTCTCACAGTTGTGAGCATAAGTTTTCCAAATTATGAATGTTTACTAAAAAATTCTTTTGTGTGTATGTGTGTAGAACAGAGGTGCGAGGGGTAGAGGATTCACCAGGCAGTGAGGAGCAGGACAGGCGGAGCTAGTGTAATACACTGCTGAGGGGAGCAGCGGACGAGACAGGAGAGGTCTGCTGTGCCATATGTGGGTCCACTCCCTGCCTGGGGATTGAACTCAGGCTGCAGAGGTGATAGTGCTGAGACTTAACACCTCAGCCACCAGGGAGGCCCCCAAATTCTTATCTACAAGTAACCAAGGAAATTGTATTTCTCTCTTGGATAAAAATGTGTGTGTTTGTTTTGCTTTGTTTTTTTTTTAATGGGTGGGGAATAAAGGTACTCATTAGAATCACTTTGAGAAGCTTAACAGAAAACAACATAGAAATTGCACTCATTTACATTTGCATTTAATCCACCATTCAAAACTGAAACTGAGGTGTGAGATAGTAAATGAGTCAAAGAGAAATAAACTATATCAAGTTTTGATTAGGGATGGGTAAATGATTCTATAATGTAGTAGTTCTCAGCTAGGAGTGTTTTTTTTTCACTTATGGGATACCTGTCATATTTGGAGACATTTTGGTCATCACCCTGCAGAAGGGCGACTGGTATCTGGAGGGCTGCTGGACGCCTAACACTGCACAGGGTTAAGTGTCAGAGCTGAGACATCCTGCTAGAAAGGAGCTAAAACATACGCTTAGATCTTCACTCGTATATTCATCTTCATCTTGGTCTTTTTCTTCCTTTTCCTCTTCTTCAGTCTCGTCTTCAAGCCTCAACCAGTACCATGCCTCCCTAGGAACCTGAATATTCTGAAAATGGGGAAATTATTCTAAATTAAACACAGCCAAACACAAGGCTATCCTAACTATGTTTGTGTCAGTATGAGTCTATTCTTTTATTAAGGGTAAAGGTGCTGCTTCCAGAAAAAGGCACTATACTGTAAGCTAGGGGATGCGAAACCCAATCAGAATATTGCCCCCAAGTTGCTGACAACCTAGTAGGGAAAATAAGCTATGCGTATAAATAGCTTAGTGTGTATGTATATTCAAAATAAAGTGCTATGAAAATATAGCAGCCTTCCAGAATCTATTTACAGAGAAGGAAATTTTACACATACTTTTGAGACTTAATATGAAGACATTTTATCTTGCTGGTATTTGAGTCATCAAAATGAATAAGAAAGAACAGAACTTTAAAAACATTTCAAATCTGAAACAGACGACATTCTATCATGATTTTCCTAGAGACAAGTGAGGTACCTAAAATAAGCTATAAGAAGGACTGAAAATAAGCTATTTCACTTAATCAAATATTCTGATAAACAGGACTTCCATATATTCTAATTCTGATAAACCCAATATTCAAATAAGTAGAGATCAATTAAATGCAAGTATATTACTGACTCTTTAATGGAAAATTTAGACTCTTCAAGTTCCTGCCGTGAACAAGTCACTACCAGTGATCACAGATCAGTAGAACACGCAAAACAAAAGCTCTAAGAGGTAGAAGGCTAGTGTGTACGCCAGGCTTGGTGTGTGCGAATCTCTCTCCCCGTCCCGTTAGTATAAATACGTAGCAAATTCTACTGGGTGCCAAGACACTTTACAAAACCAAAAAGCAGGTAAAATGCTTACCTTCTGAGTATCTAGCTGTTGGCAGGCTCGCTGGCTTCTTCTCAGGTCACCTTCTAGCTTCATTTCATCTTGCTTAGTTTTAAGTCGCATTCTAATTGAAAGAAATAAAACAGTGCCATAAAGGTCTAGACTCAATTTATTCAGTTTTTACACCTGTATGCTGGAAAACAAAGAAGAGATGTAACCCCAAACAGCTCAAATACAAAGTTTTACCTAAAGTCTTCTGCAGCTTGTTGTTCAGCTTGGTTTTTCATGTGTATCTTTCTTCTGTAGTTTTCTAGTTTTTCCTCAGCTTTCCGCTTTAATAATGTCTCATGACCAATGCCACTTTTTCCTGTTTAAATAGAACACTCTGATGAGAAGTTTACTAGCATTATACTTCTACCATGATAATTTAACCACTGGGGATCATTTGACAAGAATGACAGGAAAAAAACACTAGAGATTATTTAATGCAAACATGTTTGACATTTACAAAGAATATTGATCTGATCAAGTAAAAGTATTGATATTTACAAACATCTTGAAATCAAGAAAAAGCATCAACCAATCATCCTTTCATACTAACATGATGAACAAATAAAATATTTTTTCTTTTGAATTTACCCAAAGGATTAAGCAAGACATACAGTGAATACATATGTCTCAGAATACTTTTAGAACAATTTAATGGACAAAAAGAGCTTTGCCTTTTTAATAGTCATATAATTCTTCCCATATGTTATTATTTAAATTTTATTTTATATCCATTAAAAACTTTTGAGTTTAAATGATTTAAAAGATTAATTAACAAACATTTTACTGAGGGCTTCCTATGAGAAGACTTATAGCAGCACAATAAAAAAAAGGTATTTATTAAACAGACACATATGTTAGATCAAGGGATAAGTTTTCATTACTGTAATATGCTAAAAAAGCAAATATATACCTGTTTTGACATTAAGAGGTATAGGTTCGACAATCCCAGCACCTAGAAAACGAGAAGAAAACACAAACTTCTTTAGAAAAGCCTTACTCGGACTCTAGGTAACCATAATATGGAACTTTACAATGATTTTCACATAAAACCTCCAATTTCAAATATATTTAAAATTGAAATCTGAGCATCAATATTACTGTAAACTATTGGCCTTTTCTTCAAATATTCATCCTTATTGGGCTAACTCACAGCTTCTTATACCACTTAAAGGAAGTGTTGAAGAGGTGAAACACCAGTACTGTATTTCCAAAGTAATGATGCATTGCTAAGATCAAAGTAGTTACAGAACAAAAAAAGCAACAGCTTACAGAAGCTATGATAAATATACAGCTCCACATCTTAGTAAGCACTTGTACTTCTTAAAAAGAAGTCAGAATTGAGCTTTTTCAAGTGGGTGGTTACTCAGGCAGCTGCCACAGGAATAGAACCAGGAGGGCAGAATCCTGCCACCATCTGCAAAGCTGCTCCTCTGCCCTGCGGTCACTGCTCACCCCCTCTGGTCACCAGCCTCAGCTGCTGTCACCAGCCTCAGCTGCTGCCACCATTGCTAGCCCCACCCAGGGCCCAACTAGGCTGATTAGCAGCTCCTGGTGGCTCGAGATGGGAAGATGAAAAATAATGTTTCTTAGTACCTAAGAGACTAAAAGGTTGAAGTTGCTTTAATCTCTTTGTTGATGTATAAAGATTAGAGTCATCTCTGGTACTCATCACTATGTCACCATTTATTGTTTAGGAACAGTTGTTTATTTCTGGATGTGACTTACCACTCTTGCCAAGGGCCTGACCACTTTTATATCCCATTTTTTGGAGCAAAGCAAACCCTTTGTTTTCACAGCCTAGTGCATTCTTCAACCCAATGTCACGTCGCTCTTGTTCTTCTTCTTTTAAACTCTTCTGTCTATTTTTCAGATTAGCTTCCTGTTGTTTTTCTTCTTTCCGACGGGCTTCTCGGATCTGCCTAAGCATTGGCAATCCAGGTCTGACATCTTCCCTAATGAACACCGGAAAAGGTTATTTTAGAGGAGTTTTCGAGATTTTCTTATAACCTGACCACTTAATTCCTGGACACTACTTAATATTCTAATGCTTCTTCTGTGATTCTGTGTGTTAACATTAATATTAGACAACCTAGAATGGCTATTTTAGTAAAAGTGATGAAGGTTGGTATCAGACTGCAGGAAACTAAAAAAAAAAAAACAAAGTTTAAGAAATTAGAAATAGTAAATTGAGGCTATTTCTCTAGGATATTGTCAATAATAATGAGCAAAGCTGAAGAGTATCTAGAAGAAACAATAAGATAAAATAAAAGCGTGAATTTCCTTGAAAGAGGAGAATGAATACAAAGAGTCACAGGCAAGAGTAAAATGCTTGACATGAAAAGGGAAGAGGTTCCTAGCATCTTTATATGGACATGAAGGAGGTGTTCCTATAAAGCAGTAAGACTAACTTCCTAAGCTCAAATTTAAAATGAAGGTCATTGCTGAAAGGTCCACATGTCTCCATTTATCTTTACATGAAGTTTGCACATTTACTTACTTGACATTGATGAAGGAATCAGACATATAGTCCTCTTCATCTGCCATGTTCAACTTCAGATGACAAGAATATCTATCAATAAAGCAGCAGTGTTTTTTAAGTTTACCAAACTGGAAATAAATCTATGTACATCACCATGACTTTCTCTAGAGCTTTCCTACCTAGTCAGGTACCTTTTTGGTATCTTTTCTCTCTGCAGAGCTTTCATACTCAGCAGTCAAAATCTCATTCTCTTCCACCCCAAACCTCCTTTATCTCCCATCATTCCAAATTGATGTCATTACTATCTCCCCATTCCTGACCTCTTATAAAACTCTACCAATTCTTCCTCCATATTATCGCTCACATTTCCCCCTCTAGCTATCACTATTGCTTTAGTTCTGGCATTTCTTTCTCATTGAACATTACAACAGTTCCTAATTGGGTTTCATAGTCTCAGGCCCCTCCCAAATCATTCCCTAAATCTCTCTAGAGTGTGTTTTTGAAAAACACATCAGGTCACCTAGTGTCCTTTTCAAGTTCTTGAATAACCTTTACCCTGCAGACAGTGTGAACAGGTACTTGAACAGTTTGGTAGGACCCATCTCATAACCTAAACCTTGACTTTTCCTTGGGATTTGTTATTGAAGTGACATGGGCTTCTCAGAGCTTCTGAGCACACCTCGGACATGTCCTTCCCGTCGGTCTAGGCTATTCTCGTTCACATAGACCGGTACTGACCACACCAGGCCTCTCTCCACAGCACTTTATGTTTAAGATACTAATTTTGAACTTGATATAGTTAACATCTCATGAACATAGGATGTTCCATGTCATCTCAAAAACATGAACACATTTTTGAGGATAGTTTTCATCTAAAATGGCTATGATAGTGTAACTATTGGGCATTAAAGGGAGGTAATATCCAGAAAAGTACATCTCTAATTTGTATATGCACTTGCTGGGAACTTCTTAAAATGCAGTCTGATTTTGAGACTCATCCTCCTGCAACTGAATCAACAGTTGGGAAGATATACATTAAAAATATTAAAACCCAGCACTGTCATACTTTGTTCATCCAGTGTAACTGTCCAGACTCTTGGTTGCAGTTGGCAGAATCACTATTCAAACAAGCTTAAGTAAGGATGTTTCTTCATCGAGGTAGCTGGGGAGAGTGCTAAGTCATAGCATCAAAGAAAGAGCTGAAGGAAGCAGGGTGGGAAATTCATCACCATTAGGCCTATCTTTGTCTACTTTCTCAATGCCTTCATTCTATAATGAATGAATGGACCACTAATAGATCTTTTCCTATAGCCAAGAAGGTGGCCACGCACAGATTAGGGTCCCATACTTTCAGTTCTGAAATCCCAAGGATTTGCAATCTGCATATTCACATCACCTAATGAAAGTCTTATTAGGTTATTCCTTTCCCTACTGCTGGGGCACAAAATATTATAATTGCTCATCTTGTGCCCATGGAAGTATTGGTACTGAGATTGCCATTCTCCACTACAACTTCATGTAAAGCAAAGATCTGAAGTCCCAGCAAAGGGATGCTGGATGGGCAGAGAGAGTCTATGTGCACTGCAACAAATGACTACCCTAAGGCATGAAGTAACTGGACCAGCAGCATTTGTCTTCATTTACAAAACGATGCAATTTGGGAAGTACAACTTCACATGTCAATATGTACACTTACTCCGGCCAGTAAATACCAAAACTCAGTGTCCATCCACTATTATATTACCCTTCCTAGCTTTTCCTCTCTCCCACCCATTACCCACCCTACATTGCACGGTTCACTACAACTTCTTGTCATGGGTGAGTAACCTTTAGACTCATCCAATTCCATCAAGAATAAGGATAAACCTCACAAGGCAATAATCCAGGCAAAAATGACTGGTGTCTTGGACCACAGGAACAGTCGCGAAGTGTGAGAAGTGGTGGAGCTCTGGTTATTTACTTCGCAGACAGAGCTTCAGCAGACTTGTCGATGGTGTAAGAAGGTCGATGTCACGGTTTACTCCAAGGTTTAGTTTGAATAGCTGCAAGAATTGAATTACCGGTTTTTGAGTGGTTAGACTGTTTTAACAGGTTTTGTTTTGTTTTTTTTTTTTGGCAGAGCGGGAGGGGAGGTGCAGAGTGATGCTGCGACACACGGACAGCCCCAGTATATATCCAAGTGGAAAGATGGGCTAAGTAGTTGGACCACAGCTAAAAGGTGACAAGAAACACTTCAACCCCAAACAGTTCCCTCAGGGACCTCAGAGCCCTTCCCTCTCGAGTCCCTCCCAGCTGCAAGGGTTGCACAGACGCGACCATTCACGAGTGGGAATGTAGTGACAGTGTGATGGAGTAGTCACAGGCTACACCATTCCACCGCAAGATCGGGCCCTTACCTGGCAGTTCCACTCCTTCAGGGTCCGCTCCCGAGAGCACGCACCGCGCATGCGCCCACCAACCTGCGTAAGCCACCTATTGGGGAAACTGGAGACCGGCGGCACTGGGAAAACGTAGCTAGTGCGCATGCGTACACCCAGCCGCCTACGCACGCGCTGTCGCCTCGTTTCCTGCTGGCAGACGTGCCGGAGGCGGGGCATCCGGGTCTCTTGGCGTCCGCTTCTGGCGGGGGAGCTTAGCTGACGGGCCCCTGCCTGACTAGGAGGTGAGGCCCTCCCCTTTTGCGGCTAAAGCATGCTCGTTGACAGGCGCACACAGCCTTGTGCCCCGTATATTTTCAGAGGGCTGTGGGGACACCGAGTTCCTAAGGAGCTTGGCCCCTTTCGGGCTCGGGGCTCGGTTGGAGCCGCGGCTCTCGGGGTTGACAGCCGAGTGACCCGCCGCGGTGGCCTGCGGCAGCCCTCGCGCTTGCACTCAGCCCAGGCCCGGCGCTACGCCGCGGTCGTCGCGGCAGCGGGTGTCGACCCGGGTGCGCGCGGCCTCTGCCCGGGGCTTTCCGGGGTCGCGAAGCTGCGGCCGCAGAGACCTGCCCGCCTTCCAGTGCGGGTTCTTCCTGCTGGGACATTGACGTCTTTTTGGCCAAGTGCTACAAGGGCGGCGAGGGAGCTCTGGGTGGAAAAAAGGACCCGGCCCGGCCGGTGCTTGAGCTTGGTGCTTCGATCTTCCATTCGTGGAGTGGATAAATGACGCGTGATTTGCAAGACATTGTGTGAAACAATGCCTTATTTGCAATATTTCAGTGTTCACCCCCTTGTTCTTCCTCGCTGGTTATAACTTTCGCTCCTTTTTGTTTGTACCATTGTCCTTCAAAATCAGCTTCTCTTCTTTTGTTGCCTCCATGAAGTTAGGTAGATTTCACCCCAAAAGAAAGGCGTCTTAAGGTTGTACTTCCCACTCTCACTCCATGTACGTTCCTAAAGCTCAATCCGATTTTAACATTCGAAAATCCTTAACACATTGTTTCTTAATTTGTCACTTTAAGGGGTGAATTTTAAACCTCGACAATGGAGTTAGCCCACAGTTTACTGCTAAACGAAGAAGCCTTGGCTCAGATCACTGAAGCAAAAAGACCAGTTTTTATCTTTGAGTGGTTGCGATTTCTTGATAAAGTCTTGGTTGCTGCCAATAAGGTATGGTATTGCTTTTTTCCCCCCTAGTTGATAAATGGAAGGTCAAACGTGTTCATGATTTGTAAGAAAACAGTTCTGGAAAGGTTGCGGGTTACAACGGAAGCTAGAGACTGTGGCATCGGAAGCTAGAGACTGTGGCAGGAAGCTAGAGACTGTGGCATCGTAGTAGGAATTTCTTATCCGTCCTTTTTCCATTCTGATGCAAAACCAAAACCTGTTTAAGTCCATCTCCTTGTTTACATTGTATCTCTGCAGAGATGAATGTGACTGGAGAAAAACTACGGTGTGACAGTTGTCCTTTTAAATTTATTATCTTAATATTCAAGTGCTCCCTCAGTGTTAACAATCCTATTATCTTCCCTTATCTCTCTGATAATTTTTAAAGTACTTTTATTCTGCCTTCTTCCTATATAGTCTGTTATATCCTGTGTTTTCTATTTTCTATCTTAAAAATTAGATGCTTTCTTCGTACATCTGATATTTTTTGGCTGTCTGCTGAAATTTAAGAGTAATAAAAAGTTTCCTGGGCAGGGTGAAGTTTGTTACTTCACTATAGGATAGTCTAATTCTTTGAGAAACTGCTGATGTTAGTATCTTCAGTTTCTCTTTGCCATTTATTTCCCAGAAGAGACGTTTTACCTGGGTGTTTGAGAATATGTATCAAAGTTGGTTTGCTGAGGTCTAGGAACTGGGAGGGAAACCTAGGGACTTAAACACATAAACTTTCCCTTACTCCCACCCTCTCTGTCCCCTATTTTCAGTGCAGTTTTCCTAGCCCACCGCTGGTCAAGCTCCCTGAGTCCAGGATGGAGGAGAGAGACACAGATATCTTAGGGTCTCTGGAACACTCCCTCCATTTCTAAGCATGATTTCATTCCTTCTTCCTTAAGTATCTAGGGCCTCAAAACTTCAACAAGCAAACATGAACTTTTAGAGGACTTCTATTGCAAGTATTGTCTTTTCTCAGCCATTACTGTTTGTAATACCTGTGGATCTGTGGTGTTCTGTGTGTTTTTTGGGGTTGCCTTTGAGTGAGATTTTAGTGGGGTTTCTGGAAAGACATAATGCATGGATTAATTTACTGTCATTAATTAGAAGTTTCTGTTTTCTTTTAAGCCATCTCAAATTTGTATTTATTGCTTCCAATCCACTGAAACAGCTCTTGTCCCTTCATCAGTGATCTCAGATTGTCCAAAACAATAGTCAGTGTTCAAGTCTTATTGACTCTTCAGCACCTTTTGGCATGGTTGAGCCTCTGCTTTGAAGTGATTAAAATATATTTTTTATTTTGTTTTGAAATTGAAAAGTAGAGTAGAGTTATAAAAGTTGTCTAAGTTATGAAGCATAATAATGTGAGCATCAGCATACCTCTTCCCCTGTTGCCACTACTAATGATGTTTCCCACACACCATTTCCTCTCAGTTCTTCTCTTCACTAGTTACTTCTTAATTTCTTTTGTTGCCTTCACCCACCCACCCCACCCCCCCAGTCCTGGGCACTCTTTTATTAAATCTATCCTTACTTTTTCAGTGGTATCATTTTTTTTTTTGTTAAAGATTTATTCTTACAGAACTGAGGTACAAGCCAGAAGTGCAGATGTGGTGAGAAGCTTCACCAGAGACAGAGTAGGGAGCAGAACAGGCAGATTGACAAAGTACACTGCTGAGGGGAGCAGTGAGTGGTCAGCAGAGGTCTGTCTGCACCATATGTCATCTCCGGGGCTGGGGATCAAACTCACACTGAAGCAGCTAAGGCTCGCTGGTAGTGCTGCGTCCTAACCCATTGCACCACCAGGGAGGGCCCTCAGTGGTATCATTTAATACCATGATTTCAGCTAGTATTTATGACTCCCAGATATCCAGCAACCTGCTCCATCTCTTTTTATTGGCTGTCTAAGTAGTAACTCAGAATTAACATAGTAAAAATCAAATTCTTGATTTCTTCTTCACAAACCTGTCTTTTTCCCATTGTTCCTCACCTCAGCAAATGACCATTTCATCTTGCTAGTTGCTTAGGTCATAAACCTTAGAGTCATTCTTGACTTCTCTTATATTCTAGAGCTTAATATCATATTCATCAACATATTCTAATCTTTCTGTCCACTAAATATACCTAGAATATAATTATGTGTCATCATTTCCATTATTACTCTCCTCCTCTCTCATCTGTAGCTTTGCAGTAGCTTGTAAGAGCTTACCATTTATTAGTTCAGTAGTCCAAATGATCCTGTAAAGCATTTAGATCATATTCCTCCTCTGCTTCAGACTCCCATTCAGAATAAATTATAAATTTATTACTTTGCTGTAGAAAGTTCTGCCACAGTCTGGTCCTTTCTGTCCTCTGACTTCATCTCTACTTCCTCATTTTTGCTTGACTACAACCAAACTAGACTTTTTGCTGTTGCCAAATATACTGAACATATTTTACCTCCAGCCTTTGTGATCACTGCTCCCTCTGCCTAGATTGTTCTTCTGGTATTTGCACCATTCACATTTTCATATCCTTTCAGAGATGTCTCTTACTAATCTGTATAAAACAGTAAGAACTCACACTATTCCTTTATTTGGTAAATTCTGCCCAACTATAATGTGTACTGGTTTTTGTACTGGGTAGAAACTGGTTTTTGTTATATTCCAGTGCTCAGGATAGTGCTTGGGATAAAATAATGTACAATAAGTTTTTTTTTGAATGAAGAAATCTGTTCTTAGATTGATTATGAGTCTATGTTTTCTCTTCCCTGAGACTTCAGAGTTTCTTTGGTTTCCTTCACTGACCTGTAACTGTATGAACTACTGACTTTGAACAGGGAAGCCTATAAGGCAGCAGTTGTCCATATCCTAATCCTTTAACTGTTGATCTATTTCTTAGCTTGTTGGCAGAAAACTTTTTGCATCTAGAGTAGTGACTTTTATTGACACCTAACTTTTTGACCTTGGAGGGAATTAAAAAGAATATTTAGTCTAGGAAAGAGTGGTTCATTTCTTATTGAACTATTCCTCTTTTTTTTAGAGATTTACTTATTTATGCATAAAGAACTGGGGTACAGGTCAGAGGTGTTGGGGGAAGTGAGAGGATTCAACAGAGACAGAGCGGGGAGCAGAACAGGCAAATCAAGTGAAACACACTACTGAGGGGGAGCTGCCAGACAGGTCTGCTGTCACCTCCCTGGCCTGGAATCAAACTTGTGCTGTAGTGGCTGAGATAGCTTCACAATGCTGCGCTTTAACCCATTGCGCCACCAGGGAGGGCCCTGAACTGTTCCTTACCTTGATAATTAATTCTTTTGCTGAATGTAATACAGATTTTAATTATTTTAATTTAGATCTAAGTATTAATTAGAGTGCCTTAATTGTTAACTTTTTTTTTACTTTTGATGAAAAGGTTGCAAAAGTACATGTAAGAAAAGACTGATGATCTTTATTTTTATAACAGACTGATGTAAAGGAAAAACAGAAGAAACTGGTTGAACAGTTAACTGGATTAATAAGTAGCTCACCTGGACCACCAACGCGAAAACTGTTAGCTAAAAATCTTGCAGCTCTATATAGCATTGGGGATACTTTCACTGTATTTCAAACACTTGATAAATGTAATGATATTATAAAAAATAAAGATGACACTGCTGCCTACTTACCAACAAAATTGTAAGTACTTAATTTGAATTGATTATTGAAGTTTGTTCAGAATAACTTATTTTAATAAGGGGCTACTGACTGTAAGGACTCCCCACTCCCAGGGTAGAAGAAACCTGAGGCACCCTGCTGGCAGTGAAGGCTCTCAGGAGGTCTAGGAAACGGGTTCTTTTTCAGTATTTGCTCCATTATCACTGGGTCTATCAACAAACTACAGAATATGACTCAGCAGTTTGTGCAAGATTTTGTTTTTGAGGTAAA